ATATACCTAGGCCAGGGCTGTCAAACTTGTGACCTGCGAGCTGGATGGGTCATGCACTGGCCACATCCATACCCGGTTTAGTGAAGAAGAAAAATGTCCTGAAACGTCACATGATGCTGTGAATTTAACACCCCTGGCCTAGGCCATACAATTTTGCTACTTCCCAATCTAGTTCGAGATCTCAGGCCAGAGTGATGGGGTTTTCTTTTGATTTTGTTTTGGTGCCTTCAAGTGCTTTCAAGCCACTGCCTGAACAAATTATTTGCTTTCCTCCTGGTGCCGAAAGAAAATAATTGCTCCCAAAGTCATCCAGGTGGTTTTGTGCCTAAGATGGTCTACCTTTTTCTAATCTGGGTTTTAATCACAACACCAACTGATTCTAAGTGAGGATGGTTAGGAGATACTATCATATACTTAATAATATGTTAAATAAATAAAGCAACCATGCAACAGGATTAAAGCTAAAGTTATTCTGTATTTTTTACATTTTCTTGGTGGGACTTTTCTAGGGGAGCTACAGTTCGCCTTCATCTGCTTCCTAATTGGGAATGTGTATGATGCATTTGAGCACTGGAAAAAACTCCTGAATCTCCTGTGCAGGTCAGAGGAGGCCATAGTGAAACATCAAGCCGTGTTCAGCAATCTCATTTCTATCCTGTACCATCAGCTCAGTGAAATCCCAGCTGATTTCTTTGTAGACATAGTCTCCCAAGACAACTTTTTAACAAACACTTTGCAGGTAAGAGAATTTCATCTTGAACAGTTTGCAGCAGCAGCCATGGGAAATTTGCCCAATCATGGGATAATGTACCACGTACAGGTAGTCCTCAATTTACAACAGTTCATTTAGTGACAGTTCAAAGTTACAACGGCACTGAAACATGTGACTGATGACCGCTTTTCATAGTTACAATCTTTGCAGCATCCCCATGTTCATGTGATCAAAATTCAGATGCTTGGCAATTGGTTTTTGTATTGATGACCTTTGCTGTGTCCCTGGGTCTTGTGATCCCCTTTTGTGACCTTTTGACAAGCAAAGTCAATGGGGAAGCCAGATTTACTTAACTATCAGGTTACTAACTTGTCAGCCTGCAGTGATTCACTTAACAACTGTAGCAAGAGAAGTCCTAAAATGGGGCAAAACTCACTTAGCATATCTCACTTAACAACAAAAATTTGGGGCTCAATAATGATCGTAAGTTGAGGACTACCTGTACATATGTTATAAGTAAGTGGTGGTGATGGGCATAGTAAGGAAATCTTACTCTTTTAAAAGAGAACCATTTGGAAGAAAAATATTTTGTTTTAAGTAACTACACTAAAATATACTATAGGACTACATGATAACTCTAATAATATATGAATATTTAGCTTTAGGAAAAGTGTTTTAAAGTGTTTCTTTAAAGCAAAATCAAACTTAACATATCCCAAGCAAAATAAAGTTAAAAATTTAATCTTGAAATAGAATTAGATGTAACATTGTTCTTGGGTTATTCTCAATATAGATGATCCTGCAACAAATTCATTCTCCACTTATTATTATTAATAGAATCATTCATCTCTTATTATTTGAAATAACGGATGTTTTTGTCACATCTGACAATAAGTGACTGATTGCTGTTGTATCTAGTTTTGACCTTAATAATAGACTCTGTTAAAACAGCAATTTAATCAGAAGCACCGTGGGAGGATTTAAGTCTGAGTCTTACTTAGCATTTTCATCTTTTGCTGAAAAGTTTAGATATGCTCCCATATCTCTGATTAATCTGTACATTCCTCCCCAATTTGGAGACTGAACTTCAGTTCACAGAATTCATCAATAATTACTTCATTAACCATTTTGAAATTTGGTCTATACATCTGGGGGGCACTCAGATTGGGGAAGGCTATTATAAAACTGTTTAGAAACTATACCATTAGTCTTTATATTAGTATGTGGACATGAAACAGACAAGAATTTATAGGCATTAGTATTAGTATTTTCATATTCTGACAATATAGGACATATTGTCAGAATGATATGAAAATACTCTGTACATGGATATCTTTTATCATTTTAAAATTTGCTACGTTTTCTGTTGATACAATTGCTTGTGAAATTGTGAGATTGCCAGCAACCTCAATCACGCTAACATTTCTTCTATGAGACATTTTTTTCTAAAATCTGCCTAATTTTTGCTCAGATGTTTTTAGAAAGGAAATTAATTATTCCTTTGCTTATAGGTTTTTTTTTTCATATTTTAGGATAGCTTCTCAAAGCCATTAAAAAGTTACAAGATGAACTAAGCTTCTATATGAGAAACTTTATCTTAGAAATTAACGTGGAATAAAGTTATATGGCACACAGTTTTCCAGTAAACCTGAAGCATAAACATAGTTAATTTTGTCAAGTTCCAAAATGTAGAGAATTTCTAGTCATTTAGACCTAATCCTTTTTGAGGGTAGAAAGTAGACAAAAAAGGAACAGAAAGTCACCTTGTATGCAAAGAAGCCAATATCCTAACCATGGATAGTTTTTTGTATTTTCTGCACACACAACAGTCTTCTTAACAAATTGAAATTCAATGAAGCTGCATAAATGCAGGTTGTTTCATTACAACATTGAAGCCAGAATTTTTTTTTTTAACTAGATAGATGAAAAAGGTATTTCTTAGCTCTTTTATGGCTGTTATAAAAAAGAGTTTTTGTCAGCAAATGGCAATTAACAGATTTCAAGAAAGCCATTAAGCCATGTATATCTGTTCCATTCACCTATTTCCTTTGTATGTATCATGTTTAATGAAGAACTTTTGGAAACTCAGCGGCCTGCAAACTGCTTATTGACCTGAATAAACTTATTTGTTTAGGGGATAGAGGGGAATTTGTTTTCTTATTTTTCAACTATTGGCTAATCCTTTTAGATACGTTTTCCCATCTATTTCAATAAAGGTTATTTGTTCCCCACTAGAGAGGCATGAAAAAAAAAATCTAACAGAAAGCTCAAGGATCTGAATTCTGTAGAAAAATTATAAAAGTAAAATATGTCAAATGAAGATCTAATGGATTGAAAAACTGGTTGAGGCGGGCAGGTTAATGGGAAGGAAAAAGTGGAGCACTTCATATGTAAGTAGTCCTCAACTTAAAACAGTTCATTTGGTGACTGTTCAAAGTTACATCATTGAAAAAAGTGAATTATGATCATTTTTCACACTTAGAAGCATTCCAGAATCCCCATGGTCACATGATCAGAATTCAAACAGTTGGCAACTGACTCATAATCATAACGGTTGCAGTGTCCTCGGGCTATTTGACCACCTTTTGCAGCCTTCTGACAAGCAAAGTCAGAAGGGAAGCCAGATTCACTTTAACAACTGTGTAACTAATTGAATTGCCATCATTCACTTAACAACTGTGGCAAGGAAGGTCATAAAATAGGGCAAAACTCACTTAACAAATGTCTTGCTTAGCAACATAAATTTTGGACACAATTGTGGTCGTAAGCCAAGGACCACCTGTATTTGCAGATTGGCAATGGGAACTTTTGTGTGGATGGGCTGTAACCAAGGAAGATGTTCTGAAGATTGGCAGGTGGGCAGTGAGGATTGATAGCAGATCTTTAGAGTGCAGGGCCAAGGCCCAATGTGTACTTTTATGCGTGTACAAATGGCAGGTGGTCTTAACAGACATTCAGAAGAGGAGACGTGAATGTGTGAAAAATAAAATGGGACACGATGCCAAAAGTTTGGGAATCTTTGTTTAGATTCTTTCAACCTTACTTGAGCCTACAATAGAACTGTTTGATTTTACCGTAGCTATCAATCTGTTGCCTTGGAAATCATTATATTTAACAAATTTAGAACAGTAGCAAAGAAATTAGGAGATTGAATTTTTAAACTTTAATGATGGGTCAAATATAAATATAAATAAAAAGTTAATGGATTTGTGTAAAAAATACATCTACATTCCCTTACAAAGACAGTAGCTTTTAAACATATAGGCTTAATATAATTTGAATAATATGAATAATATGAATCCTTCTCATGTTCTTTAATGAAGGAAAAACAGAAAATGGGTCAGATCTGGCTGGGAGCTGCAGAACAAAAAAAAATAATCCAGATTTTTGTTTTCTTCCAGTGCAAGTGCTTTGGGAGAAGCAATTGAGCCGTGGTGTAGCATGCTGCAGAACTGCTTCATTCTGAACCCATGACCCAGAGAAAGGCTTCTGTTAAAGCGTTGGAAATAATTCTAGAAGCCATGTGTTGCATACATTGCCTGTATTGTTCTTTACATCAGATCTGCTCTGAATAGCCTCTTAATCATACCTTTTCCTTTGTCTCTCTCTATATTGTTTGCCACTCTCTGTTTTTCATATCCACATTATATTGCATCTTTCAGTTATTCCCACTTTTACAGCATTCTCTTTCAAATAATTCTTAGATTACATTTCGGCACCGTTCAAAGTTTTGACCTCACTTAATAAGGGGGTCTTACAACCAATCTTTGAAGTTGAGGCCATCACAAAGTCCCCACAGTTGTGTGAGTGCGATTCAGACACTTGGCAACCTGCTCACAGTTATGGTTTGCTGTTACAGTTATTTTTCTATTAATAATATATATTCTTTTTAGATGGTTGCAGGATCATTCAGCATTGGACTAAAAAAATATGATCAGCCTAAAATGTAATGTTCAGTCTGGTCACATTAGCCTGAATTATCTTTCTCTTAAAGGATGACCCAATGGGGGGTTATAGGGCTGTCTAGTCTATTCTAAAATGTTGTATTAATTGATGTGTAATATATTTTTAGGTGTTCTTCTCTTACACTTGTAATCCAGCTGTTGACAGAACTCTGAGGAAGAAAGCAGAAAGATTTAAAGCCCACCTAACCAAGAAATTCAAGTGGGACTTTGAGGCTGAACCAGAGGACTGTGCCCCCATAGTTGTTGAACTACCAGAAGGAACATTTGTGGACTGAACATGACTCTCTTTTTTTATTACTATAATTTTCCAGTTGTACCATACGTTTCAGCTAGGAAACATATTCATGATATTTTGCTTCTTTTTGTACATACAGAACAGCAAGATGGTGCAGCAAGAATTCTTTTCCTTGTAGAAAAAGTAGACAAGACTGTGCCTAGTCTGTCCACCAAATGAATTTATTCCCACATTGTTCTTGAGTCTTGGGTATTGAACAAAGTTGCTTATTTCACTGCAAAAATGAATACTGTAACGTGTTTTGAGCAATATTGAAGAAGGAAACATCAAGTGCTACTGTTTGAGTTAGTGCAGTAATAATTGTTTTCATTGATTTTATTTTGTGGTGGAACTTTAGGCTGCATTAGAGTTCTTCCCATTCCATCAGTTTTATTTCATCTACTCCTAGTTTTTCTTACCCTTTTAAAATTATAAAAATGCAAAGTGAGTTACCATGAATTGAAAGAAAAAAAATTGTGTTTTAGCTTTGACAATATTCTGTCTAAGCTGTTTCTAGAAAGCTACACTGAATGTTCTCCCTTCTTTTTAGAATGTCCTCTCAGGACAGGCTGCTTTCTGCTGTTACTTCACAAATGTTATAAAATAGCCTGAAGCAAGCATAGGGCCTGTTATCTTGTAATGTTTTCTCTGGAGTGCAGGATGCTGTTAAATTTTTCAAATGTTCCTTACTATGTGAAGATTTAGCTCACTCATTTCTTTTCAGGCTATAAGGCTCCTTCAAGGGTTGGTATGCCTATGTAACAAAATAACTTGCATTACTGTTCAACACAATAAAACTGCCTATATCAGTTTGTCTATGAATTCTCCCCAATGTCTTCTTTATATGAACTTTCCAAAGGTGTGGGCTTATGCTTTGGTTATTTATTTTATTAAATTTATATTTTACTCATTTCACTATTGAAGCGACTGTGAGGTTTAGTCATTACTGATAGTGCTATGATTGGGATAAAATACCATTTACCATTATTACAACCTTTAAAGTCTTTAAAGTCTCTTTAAATACCTGTACAATCAGCACAGCCCCCCCCCCCCCCCCCGCGCTGTGTGCTATCTCCTCTTCTCCCTATATACCAATGACTGCATCTCAAACAATCCATCTGTTAAAATACTGAAGTTTGCTGATGAAACAACAGTGATTGGTCTCATTCGAGACAACGATGAATCTGCATACAGACAGTTCTACAACTTGCCTCGTGGTGTAACCGGAACAATCTGGAACTGAACACACTCAAAACCGTAGAAATGGTGGTAGACTTTAGAAGGAACCCTCCTATACTACCACCTCTTACCATACTAGACAACACAGTATCAACAGTAGAGACCTTCAAATTTCTAGGTTCGATATCACATGACCTAAAATGGACACCTAATATCAAAAACATCATCAGAAAAGCACAACAAAGAATATTCTTTCTGCGCCAACTCAGAAAGCTCAAACTGCCCAAGGAGCTGGTGATCCAGTTCTACAGAGGAATTATTGAGCCTATCATCTGCACCTCTATAACTGTCTGGTTTGGTTCGCCAACCCAACAGGACAGACACAGACTTCAGAGGATAATTAGAACTGCAGAAAAAACAATTACTATCCACCTGCCTTCAATTGAGGACCTGTATACTGCACGAGTCAAAAAGAGGGCTGTGAAAATATTTACAGACCCCTCACATCCCAGACACAATCTGTTTCAACTCTTTCCCTCAAAATGACACTATAGAGCACTGCACACCAGAACAACTAGACACAAGAACAGTTTTCCCCCGAAAGCCATCACTCTGCTAAACAAATAATTCCCTCAACACTGTTCAACTATTTACAAAGTGTACACTACTATTACTGTTAATCTTCTCACCACTCCTTATCACCCATCCCCTCCCACTTGACTGTTTCCTAGTATGATTTGATTGTTGATTGTACCCTATGACTATCATTAAGTGTTGTACGTTATGATTCTTGATTCTTAATGTACCTTTTCTTTATGTATACTGATAATATTTACACCAAGACATTTTCCTTGTGTGTCCATTCACACTTGGCCAATAAAGTGTTCTGTTCTATTCTGTTCTGTTCTGTTCTATTCTATTCTATTTTCTATTCTATTCTTCCCTACAACTAGCATTTGAGCACTATAGCTTAGCCTAGAGTTTATTGAGCACTTCCAGAAAGCCAGTGGCCTTGTTGCGTTTAACTCTTGTAGCAGTTTTGCAACTTTGTTTTATCCGTCTTCCCTTTTGAGCAAGTCATGTGTTTTCCAAGTGGCCCTTAGGAGAGTGTTCTCCCCTGATCTCATTCTTCACAACCTTCCAGATGTATATCTTGGGATAGAAATTGGCAACAGAGAAAAAAAATGAAATGCTGGCAGTACTAAGTTCTTATTAATAATATCCTGTTCACCAGAGAAGCTCTTGGAGTGCAAGGCAATGATGCACTAATTTCTAAGTATACACCAATACACATTATGATAAGAATCCTACCCCAATTTAAGGCAAATATAGTCTATACTAAACTTCTAAAAGAACCTTAGTTGACTGGTTCCTTCCTCCCTCCCTCCCTCCCTTCAGATAAAGTGCCTGAGCAGTGGAAATATTCCCCATGATTCCTCTTCTCATGCAATTTTTAAAATATAGCTACTTTTAATAATTGATTTATCTCTCTGCTGTTTAGATGGTGGGTCATGAAAGGAAATGAAGCATAAATGAAAAGTATTTTTAATATAGAATAATTTTATAATTTTTCCTGTCTTATTTTCCATATATTCTCTCAGAATAAAATGTTATTTTTAAAATTGGCCAAATCTTTTTCATATTATTCTCACCTCCTTTCTTAAAAAAGACATTTATTTTTCATTTAATAAATTTCAGGTGGTAAATTCTTTTTTTAACACAAAGCTGCTTTTTTCAAAATTAGGTGATGTCTAAATAACTGAGAAGGGGAAAATAAAATATTTTTAAAATATTTATCTTATTCATTTTCCAATCAGTTGGGTCTTTCTGTCAAATACAATTTGGGTTTTACAATATCACTTAGCCACTATGAGGCCCTCACATGATTTATACTTTCATTTTGATTACAGAAATCATAAATGATAGATTCATATTATACTAGATTAAACTGGAGTTTTAATTAAGAAGAACTCAAGATCGTTTATTGTTCTGTTTGTTTCATAGAAGTACTATGTATAATCTGATATAAATACCAAGAGAGTGAAGAAAATTATTTTAAACTTGGTATTTCTAGATGTGTTTGGTCACAGTTCTCATGATACCAGAAGTGTAAATATCTCACATAGTTCTGGTTAATCCTGTTTTATTGTAGTATTTGTAAATTAACATTTCTTTTCTTCAGCCACTTAGGCAATAAAATTAGTTTTATTCTTTCCTGTGTATTTTTCATTTACAAAACATGTTTTAGGATAAACTAAGCCAAAATAATATGACACAAATAAATGTTCATTCACTGCAGTAAATTTGACAACGAAAATACATCTGTTTGGAAGGTTATAAACTTCACTGAGCCATAAATACATGAGATGGATTTGCATGATATATCAAACTGCAAAACAGCAAACCCAGTTTAATGTATTATACAAATCTTATCTGCTAGGTTTTTTTACCTAACTTTATTAGTCATGTGTGAACATACAACATTGTATAAGAGAATATAAGCACTGAATCCTCATTAATAACTTGCTAAATAAGTCATATCAAATCATTTTGGGGGGGAATATTTTAAACAGGAATATTTTTTGGTCATCCTGGTAAGTGAATACATTTAAATTCCCAAATGGATGTCTTCTGTTACTTATTTCTCTTCATGGCCCCACTAGGGACAATATGATTAACCACTTACTGAGGTGATTTTTGCATAAAGATGAGCTGCAAAGACCAGCAACATGGTTCTGGAGATTGCAAAAATAGGTCGCTTCACAAGGTATTACTATTCAGGTACTGGGGCTGAGAAGGCTGGCTTCCCAGTGGAGCTTATCTCCAGCTTCCAGTGGCGTTCATCAACTTCACCTTGAAGGGCTTTGTGGTCCCCTGAGGGCTGGAAACAAAGAGCCTGTGCTTGAATGTGTCACTGACATCTCCCGGCAAGCTGACTTGGTGGCTGACATCTCTGAAATTTCTTTAGTTAAGCAAAGGAAAAAGCAAAGATGCCTCAGATGGAGAGGTAATTTATGAGTGCCCTCCAACTTTTATCTGAATGTGACAGCTTTTTCAATAGGCCAATTTAAACACACATATTTTTAAAAAATATATTCCTGCAACTATTTTAAGCACCGAAGGACTGGCAATAGAGTGGTGGGTATTTGGTGTTTTTTTTCCAAATAAGGAAACACCATTTTCAAGCAATGCTTAAAAAGTGTTCCAGTTTTCAGATTAGTAGAGGTGGGTGTTCTATAAATACAAACAATTGTATTTTGTTATTCAAAATTGCCACAATCTCAAGCCTGATAGCAAAATATGATTTTGTAACAGGATCCAGTGTGTACATTCTCTGGACTGAGCAATTATTATGGATCTCTGTGCTCCTATTTTAATTGGCTCACTATATTCTTCAAAGCATCTTAAACAAACCATAACTAGCAACCCAATAACAGAATACAGAAGCTGTCTACAACATAGAGTGTAAGAACTGTAACAGCCGTTATGTAGGACAAAGAGGCAGAAGACTAGCAGAACGCATCTATGAGCACCAACTAACAGAAGATGTGAAAATTCCTTAATCTCACAACAGATGGACAGACTCAACCATTGTTTCAATTGGGAAACTGAGTATCTTAGACCAAGCCAAATCCTCAAATGCTAGGAATTCTCACAAATCAGCCAGCAACAGACAGCTAAATCATATTTACATATCATTAAAAACAGGCAAGAAAAATGCTAAGGATAAAAAGATCCAAACATATCTTTCCAGTAATCAACACCTAGATAAGCAGGGATAAACACCAGAAAAACTGGCAGAAAACAATAATCAAGGGACTACCAAGGAGAAAACTGCATCATCAAAACCAGGAGGATAAACTACTGTATAGGTTATATAGTACAGCAAACTCCACACTTGCTTACAGTGATGCTACCTAGTTAGGTAAGGAATTGTTTGCAAGCAATCTGGCTCATGGACTCCACAGTTCAACCCTAAGCTTTATATTTTCTTCCACTAGAGAAAATATTCTTTTGCAGAAGAGGAACATTATTATATGGATTCTTAATCTCTAATCTCATTAGAAATACTATGGTGCAGTTTTGCCAAAGATATGGAAGACTTGCAAAAAAAGGTCCTGCCCTTCCAGTCCCTTCCAGTCCCCTTCCAGTCTCTTTGGCATGACTAACATGGAAACATTCTTCTCTGAAATAATGGAGGCAGGCAATCATGTAGAAAATTCAGACATAGTCTAACAAGTGATTTATCTCAAGATATCACTGGTTTCTGCATGCACACATCACATTAAGCTATTATGTGCTGTGTTTGGGCCTGGATTAACATGATCGATGAAACCAGCCATTGCAATTTGCAAATCTTGGTTGATGAGTTAGCACTTAGAATGAACCCACTGTGGCTTCCTAAGGAGTAAAACAAAACATGTTTAATGTGGTATGTGAACACAGCTAATGACCTAGTCTCATATTATGGTTTCTCTGCTGGTTCAGAAAGTGTTTTTTTCTTAATAGAAAGACCTTAAACCCTCCCGCCCCCCCACTTTCCACCTCATGCTTAGATTCAAATTAAATTGGCATTTAGAATATAGAAAATGGTTTTTCAAACATTGTTAGTGAGATTTACAACATTTTTTTTTTTCAATCCAGTGTGGGGAACCTTTTAATACTCCTTGATGGTAGATTCTAACATCTGAATTTGAATGGGTTTATTTCCTTCCTAGGCGTCCCTTAGGGTGCTCAACATGAATTACGCTGACAGAAAGAGTTCTGATTAAAAAGATTCATTTGTTTATCTGGTTCATTTTTCTCAAATCTAGCTCCTTTATGGCATAAAATTCCCTAAGAGCTTTTCGTTTACTTTATTCAACAAGGAAGATGAATTTTCATAATGAGGTGTCTCCTGAGTTTTTGCAATTGTCCAAGAAAGTGTGTCAGTTACTTTTTTCTCTTTATAATGTATTCTCTATGGGCAAGATGGTGGTTATGGAGAAACTGAACAATTGCAATAGAAATCGAAGGAAAGGAAAGCATTTCTAATGGGAACTGAAAATATAAGAAGGAAGGAAGTGTTAGTGAAATGGCAAATTCACTTATTTTTATAAGTGACTATCATGATACTTTTCCTTCCTTCAAGGATAAAGTTATTCATTCTGCCATTTTAATGATATCAGTGCTGTCTGTGCATCTCATTAAAATATAGATGACCTACATTTTTCTTAAAGGCAATATATACATTCCACCAATTAGCAGACGGAGATGAGAAAGTATATGTTATGCAGGGTGTTAAGTTTGAGCAATGAGAGGCTGGACCAGAGCATGAGTGCAACAATACTTTATTTTACAATAAAGGGCTGACCGTGCTTGCCATGCCTAGAACTGGCTCGCAGCAATCAGCAAGAGGTTGGACCCCGCAGCCTGCTTTTATAGCTGGCTGCTGGGGAGAGCCAACCAATGGGAATGGGGGAAAGAACGCCCACATAAGTGAGTGGACCTGAGTGAGAACTTCTTGAGTCCTCAGGACATAACACCCCTTCCCCCCAGATGTGAACATGCATAGTCTTTGAGGTAGACGGGGGGCTTGTGTTGGCGTCCGGAACGGCGCAGCTCGGGGACATTGACTGCCAGTTCGGTATCAATCTGTGGCGGTTGATCTGGCATAGTGTCGATAACGCTCTCTCTGGATTGGGCATCCTCGGAAGGCACCGGGTCGGCTACTGGGGTCGAGCTCCCGTGGGCTGGATCTGGCTGGTCCATTCTTCGGGCGCTGTTGCTCGAATTCGGGTTGACCGGAACGACTGCTGGTGCAAACTGGACGTTGGGTGTGATGATGCTGGGAGGCGGCTGAGACGGCCCCTCTACGGCTGGCGACTCAGGATTCTTGTTGGCAAGGGTGCTGAGGCGCCTTCTAAGCTGGTCTATGTGTCTCCTCCAGACGCGACCATCCTCCAGTCTGACCCTATACGATCTCGGCCCGGTGACAGAGACGATCTCGCCTGGGATCCAAAGTGGGTCCCCAGCAAAATTTCTTGCGAAGACTGGCTCCTGTAACACAAAATGTCTAACCCCCGAAGTAGAAGCGAGGGGAGAGTCAGGGCAGTATTGTGGGTGCAGTCTATCCAATACAGTCCTCAGGCGTCGGCCCATCAGAAGTTCCGCTGGGGACTTATTGGTGACTGCACAGGGGGTTGAGTGCTGGCTCATCAGGAACCGTGAGAGTTTGTGGTGACAGTCATCTTTGCCAAACCTGGCGAGGGCCTCTTTGGTGGTCCGGACGGCCCGTTCAGCCAACCCATTACTCGCCGGGTGAAATGGGGCTGTGAAAATGTGGCGAATGCCTAGGTTGGCTGCAAAACGGCTGAATTCTACGGATGCGAACTGAGGGCCATTATCTGAGACCAAGGAGTCGGGTAGTCCATGCGTAACAAACAGGCGTGTTAACGCGTTGGTGATTGCTAGTGTGGTGGTCGTGGATAGCTGTGCCACGTCTATCCACTTGGAATAAGCGTCCACGACCACTAGGAACATTTTCCCATGCACGGGGCCGGCCAGATCGATATGTATTCTAGACCAAGGGGCGCTGGCGTTCTCCCATCTGGTAGGGGTGGCGATGGGGGGAGCAGGATGGGATTCCTGGCAAATGCTGCAGGAACTTACCCAATTGACAATGTCCTCGTCTAGGCCTGGC